GATGATATGAAATACATCCTATATAGTCAGCACTGAAGTGATAAGTTTTTCTGAAAATAAAATTGAAAATCAAATTTTGGGATAGGAAAAACAATATTAATTAAATCAGTCCCATTTCAAGGACAAGCTCGATTGTGTCCTAAGGTTATTTCATCAACAGCCTGGATAAAAGATAAAACATTTTTGGTATGAGATAAGTAAAGCCATTCAATACAATATATTTTTGAGCTTTTAACACAGTTAATACTCCTGTAAGTAGCTTACTAATAAGAAATATCAAAAAATGTTAAGTGACAATTCCTATGTGGAATTCTGTCCACAAATTGAGTACTCAAGTACTTAATTTGCTCAACTGTGGTAAATGCTGCAAGTAGAACTACAATAAGATCTCCAGGTTGTTTTCCTTTGGTCAATAAGTCAAATTCCAAGTTAATCAAAGATGGAAACAAATTTCTATTAAGTAGGTTAAACATTTACAAAACTTAAGTAAAACAATTCAGAGTCATTTCTTTAGGTTGATGGATATATAGGTCTAACTAAACAATTTAAACTCAACACTTTTTCCCCAAAAAAATTGTCCAACAATTACTGTCTCTTCTTTCGAGTAAAACTTTGTAATCTGAAACTGCAAGAGTGATCATTAAATTTCATCTTCATTCGCAAACCGGAATTCTAAGCAGAGAGGAAAAAAAGTTTTAAACAAACAGTTTCCCCCCCCCTCTTTTTTCTGTCTCTCTTGCTCTTAAAGCAACACAGCCAGTTGAAAAACAAAAGAGACAGGAAAAGTTTTTGTTACAAACTTCTCACCACTAAAAATTAGTTTTCTCTCCTTCACATGCATTTTCCATAAATTCTCTCACACATTCTCCATGGGACTCTTCTCATGCAAACATTTACTATTACTTTTCAATTACAACAATAAAATCTGCAGTTTTTTATTTCTTTTACAGCCTGGGAGTGAGTGGGTGGGGGGTGGGGTTTGAGGGCTAACACACACTTAGGTATCAACAAATTAATTCATTCATTTTCATTCTAGCTGCTTGTATAAACAATTCCACATACAAATATTTCATTTCATACTTTCTCCAGGCAAACCATTTATTTTTAAATAAGGCCTTTTTGTATTGTTGTTATCAGAGAGGGTTTGACCCTCTTCCAAGTCTTGGAAATAACACAGAACAACACAGACAAACATATATACACAGATGCTAATAAAATAACATTTATTTAGACATGGCTTGTCCTGCAAAAAGCGAGAAAAATCATGAGATGATTCCAACCAAACGTGGTTTTTTTTATAGGGCTCTTTTAATCATCTCCTATTTTTCTCACCATTCCAAGCCCAAGCATAATATTCTGGGTGGCCACACACACATATACACATATACACACATATACATAAACAAAACACACATCAGTTTGGGGTTTGAGGCTAAAACAGGCCTCTCCTTTTAATTAAAAAGGAGGGGAACATTTATGGTTACTTCCAATTTATCCCAGCAACTTCAAAAGACATTGGGGAAAGACTAAAAGGAATATTGAAGGTGTGAAGGGTGAGGGAAAAGTAGCAGCCTCCTCTCCTCACATCTGACAAAGGGGAATTGAATAGAACCAGATTAAAAGGGAAAAAAGGAAAAAAACTTGCTTTCAGTTTTTTGAATTTTCTTTTCTTTTTCTTCCGTGGCTTTACTTGTTATCAGATAAACTAGCCAACCGGAGGTTTACAAAGTTTTTCAATGTTGTCTTGTTAAAGATTATTTATACTTCTACACATCAACACAAAGCACCATCAGACATTGTCTGACAGGATTAAACTTAACCGCTACTTGAAGTTTCAAAACATCTCAATTGTTCAAAACACATTGCAGAGGAGTACATTTTGATTTAATTTGTTTCTTTAAATTCCTCTGATGATTCCTCATATATATTTTTTCTACTTCAAGATTGTTCCTCTATATTTTCCTTACGGAGGTGTATGGTGGCCGTAAGGAGGCAAAAGAATTAGCCTCTTCAGAAGGAGCTGAAAATCCAATTAAAGATGCTTTCAGAGGCAGTTTTTTACTTTGATCCTAATCAGGTGTGGGGCTTGTAGTTAATTGTTGCCCTGCTGAAGCATCTGAGCCAAATTTTTCCACTGCTTGATGGCATTGATGCCATTGATGTAATACCTGTACTGGAGCCCTATTTTTTCCCAATCTCGTAACCTAAGCGTCCAGCGCTTAGGATATCAAGGGGAATGTTTCCCTACCTCACCCACCAGCTTCTTTTTGTCTGCATCAGGCATTTTCATGCCTGATTTGTGTAACAGGAATTTGAGTTCCTCTGCTGGTGCTGAGATAGATTGTAACCCTTACTTATCACTGAGGGGTCCCGTAGGACGAAAGTGAACTTAGGGGTCTATTCCAGACGCTGGTAAGTAAGTTGGCTGTTGCTCCCTCAGAAGGGGGGGGGCTGTCCCTCTTTTCAGTCACCAGATGTAGGACGCTAAGAAAAAGACTCAGGCATGTCTTGAGCAGAGATTTGAAGCTGCTGCAGAGCTGCTTGTCACAGCTTGAGACAGCTTGAGAGTCTCTGTGTGTTTATTGGTTTTTATATACTTTTTACATACATAGGCTTTTACATTAAATGCTGATTTTACATTCATAAGTTTAACCTTTAGATGCTGACATAAAGTTTCTTCATTTGAAAATTCCTTCATATAAGCAACTATTTTCTAGTAACATATTACCTGTTCAGAGACCAGGTAAAAACAAATACAGATAGATCAAAAGGAGAAAGAACTAACAAAGACAGGAAGAGATAGGAAGTAACTTAAGCATATTATTTATTTAGGTAGGTGAGATATTAAGTCAAAAGGGGATTCCCCCACATGCTGCTACTGCCGGTCAAGGCCAGACAGGGAAGGGGGCAGGGTGGGGTTGCTTCCACCACCAGGTAAGGCAAGGGGTGGGACATAGGTGGCACCACACTGTGGCCCTGTGCGCTTGGCCCCCACCATCCAACCTTGTCTTCCAGCTCCTTTGCGAGGACGAGGTTGGATAGTGGGGGTTGAGCATGCAGGGGCGGTGGTATGACACTGCCCCCACCCCTTGCCTTGCTTCATGCTACAGTGGCGGCACTGGCAGCAGGCAGAGGCAGAGACACAGGGGAGGCATGCGATCCAACCTGATAGATGCACCAGGTGGCAAATGCCCCTGCCCCATCCCAGCCACAAGCAAGCAAAAACATGCAGTGAGATGGAGCAGGTGCATGTGGAGGTCTGGATTATGTACCTCCCTCCACCTCTGGCTCCGTCTCACCACACACCTGCTGCTTGAGGGTCAGCTCAGTGGTTGCACCATGCTGTGGAGCCCCAAGAGTGTGCCGACCGAGGAGCTGGTAAGTTGCAGCTGCTGTAGGACACCGTCGGCCCCCATGCATTCACTGCCTCCGTTGCCCGGCTGGGCCAGGGAGCAAGGGCTGTCCCATGGGCCTTGTGTTTGACATGTCTGGTCTAGTTGGCAGAATGTGATTGGCATCTTCAGCCACCTTAACTGGAACCCCAATTTCTCCACTAGGGCTGGGCTGATCAGGCACTTGGCGCAGCCCAATTCCAGGAGAGCCCGTAAGGTGACTCTCAGTCTAGAGTCTCGGTAGCTTAGCTCTATGGGAATTGTTACTAGGCCACTTACTAGGGAGTTGTCATCAGAATGAAGGTCAGTTAATCCTTGGTCATCATTTGGCAGGATCAGAGTTCTCTCGCCTCTTTTGGGGGATGCGGTGAATTTGAATCAATCCCTTTCAGTGAGGTCTCCCAGACCCTCTGCGGCGCCTTAGAAGTTTCTCCCCCCCTTGAGCCCAGGATGGTCTTTTTGGCGGGACGGCCGGTTTTGCACTTTGCTGTCCGGTGCCCTTCCTGGCAGCACTTAAACGGTAAAGCCTAGTTGCAGGTTCTGCGGTTTCGTGGTCTCTCTTTTCTCTGGAGGTGAAATCTTCCATGGCCATGCCGCATGATGCTTATTGTGCACTTGGTCGATCTTCACCTCAGCCAGGCTGTAGCATGCATGGAGGGTCATGGGGCTCTTCTCAAGATGCAGGCATTGTACAGTCAATCCATCTTTGAACCACTGATGAGGATATCGTCTGGCCAGTCATTCAGTCAGCATGCCAAATCATGGAATTCCTCAGTGTATTCCACCACCACTCTGCAGCCCTGATGCATGGTTTTGATGCGGTTCCTCACTTTATGGTCAGCTAGGTAGTCCTTGAATTGCCGGCATGAAATGTTTGAAGTTCCTCAGTTCAGGTGCATTCATGTTGTGAAGTGTCACCATCCAGCATGCTGCAGCCCCCTCCAATACTCCGCATGTTAGTGCCTTCAGAGGGAATCTCCAGCCCATACTCTTGAATATATGCCAGGACATGGGCTAGGAAAAATTCCAACTGTTAGGGATACTCATCAAACTTTACACTGAGGGGTCTTCCAGTGTTTTTCCCTTGGTTGGCCAGTTCCCGCTGGATAAATGAATATTTATCCTTTTTATAAGGTTTTACAAAACACTCTTGCATTAATTTTTTTATCAAAGTATTTCTCCACATTTTAAATGCCCCTGGAAACTGCATTTTAATGCATCAGTACTATCAGATTACAAACGTGATTATTAACACAATTTTATACAATATATACACAATTTTATATATTTAAATATCAATAGCACAAATAATTAAATGACTGGTGAAAATCAACCAATAGTATCCTCAAAAACTTAACAAAAGGATTGACTTTTGTCATCTTATTGTATTATCACAGTTTAGAAAAAATCAAATTTATGTTGTGTCTTTGTAGTGGAGTAGTGTATAAATTATTTTCATAGTACTTCTACAGGACATACTGAAATAATTTTAGGACAAAATATCTTATTTTACTGAAAGAAAATTAAATTAAGGTGCAAGTTTGCTTTTTTCTTCTTTTTATACAATATATTTGTAGTTTCCTTAATAACAGTACTCATTTTTAATAGGTAGCCTTGTCCAAAGAATACTGGAAACAAAGAAGGATTATGAATTATCACAGTTGCAAAAATCTGCTGAAAAGGTAACTTGCTAATAAACTTTAAAGAATTGTTTCTGGCAAATTTTTATCTCTTACACTTTATTAGTATCTCCAATATAATGATTGTTTAACTGATTTTAATATTAAAGCAGTGGTTATCATAGGATATAAACAAAGAAAGCATTGTTTCAACAGCATTTATTTTAATACTTTGGTGTATGCCACTCAGAGTCCCTTTCGGAGGGAACTGGGTGGTTCAGAAATGTGACAAATGGAAGGAAGGAAGGAAGGAAGGAAGGAAGGAAGGAAGGAAGGAAGGAAGGAAGGAAGGAAGGAAGGAAGGAAGGTACTAAGGTACTCCTGGTTTAAAAGTTGTAATTCTTCTCTAAAGAAAAAAATCCACCCTGGCTGACATTATGTTTTTTCAGCATTTGATTGGTCAGTTGTAAATGGCTTATAGTTATTGCAAATAATTTTAATATCCATGGCATCCTTGTGTAAAGATTTTCAAAAATATAGGAAAGTTGATATATTTTCTCTTTCCATACCTTCCATTCATGACTGATGCTGATTAAAGGGACTCAAGCAATAGCAATAGCACTTAGACCAGGGGTCTTCAAACTTGGTCCTTTTATGACTTGTGGATTTCAGCTCCCAGAATTCTTCAGCCAGCATGCCTGGCTGAGGAATTCTGGGAGTTGGTCCACAAGTGTCAGAATCCAATTATATTTCATCTTTAATTATCAAATATAGAAACTACCAATTCTGCCTTCTCTGGATTCTGCCATAAGAGGGAGAGAAGGGGGAGAGCAAAGGGGCTTTATGGCCCTCACTTCCTTCAGTACACTTCAAAGGGCTGAATGCTGAATGTGTGTTTATTGTGACCTCTAAGCGTTAACATATCAAAGAAGGGTAATTGCCTTTCATGTAGTTATCTGAAGTCTCCATCTAGACGGAAGAAAGAAGAAAGGGGGTGGAATTGTGATACTTGAAACTATCCCTGGAAGGGGGCTTGATTGGGTGGGACTACTGGGGAACCCCTTAAAACCTTGAATGGGAGAGCTTGAACCCCAAGTCCTGTCTAGCATGCCTGCAACCACTTCTCTTAATAAAGGATTCCTGTTGGAAGAATTATTCCAAGAGTTTTGTCTTCTTAAGATGCAAAGTGGGGTGGGTCCTTACATTAGACAGGACTTGCAAAATTAATCCACCTGGAAGGGAGACCCTTGCCGGGGGATTTTGCAAAAATTTACCATGTCAGACAACGAAGCAAGAGAGGGGGAAAACTCCCTGGAAAGAGAGCCGCTGACCCAGTTGGAACCTTGCCAGATGTTGGAATCCGAGAGGCCAGATTCCTCAGGAGAAGAAGTGGTGGAGACACAGGACCACAAGCCTCGCTGGTCGATGGGCGTTGGAAAGAAAAGTGAGTGGGGAAAGGAATCAAGAAAGGTGACCCTGAGACGGGGGACCAAGCAACCAGAATGGAAGCAGGAGATGGAGAAATCCCTGCACGCAAGTGAAGAGGGAGGAAGCTGGGCACCGTACTCAGACTGGATCCTAGAGAAAGCTATTGACCTGATGAAGAGAACTCTCAGCTCCCTAGGAGAGGAGAATACTGAGCCCTACGGCCGCCCCAGTTCCTGGAGCCACAAAGGGAGAGACACCGAGGGGGACGTGGAACCTGCAACCCCAGGGACATCTACTGATCCAGGAGCCCCCACCCCCTACCGGACCACAGATGGTAATCTGGACGGAAGACACTACCACCCACAACGGAGGCACCGATCCATTCCAAGATGTCCACCGTTGGAGGTGAAATTCAAAGGGGAGCCAACACGCTTGGGGTTTTTCCTAACCCAAGTCCTCAGCTACATGGAGGAATATGGGTAGGACATTCCCAGCGACAAAGCCCGCATCCGGATCGTGCAATCTGCCCTGGATGGACCAGCCGCGGATTGGGTGGTGAACTTGCATGACTCCAATGCCCCAGAACTCAGTAACTTCAACCGTTTCATGTCCTCTTTGAGAAGACGATTTGAAGACCCCCTGGCTGGTCGCAAAGCCCGTGAAAGGATAACGATAAGGCAAGGCAAACGCCCAGTGGCTGAGTATACCCAAGAATTCCGGGCCATTGCCAGCAAACTGAATTGGCCAGAAGACATCCTCCTTGGCCATTTCAAAGACGGACTAAACTATGATCTATATGATGCTTGCCTGCCCCGAGGGGACCCACATCGACTTGAGGAATGGTACGTCTTGGCAGAGGAAGCAGAGATCGACATATTGAAGAGGCACCGCCGAGGAAAACAATGGAGCCGCCCCCCGCCTGAGCTGACACACCAACCGGTGAAATCATCGGATACAGCCAAGAAGCAAATGGGGTGTTGCAAGTGCGGAAGAGAAGGGCATCGAGCTGTAGAATGCCGCTCAAAGGCCCCCCAGCACAACCCAGACAGATCCCCAATCAACAAACCCGGAAAGTATTCAGCTAAGCCAAAAGAAACGGCCATGAGAATGATGGAAATTGCAGAAACCCCCACCTCTGCTCACCAAGGGGAAAGAACTCCAGCCTACACCACAGGGCCGGTGGATGCCTCAGATGACAGCTCGGAGGGCGAACCCCTGGTAAGTGGATGCATCACACCCATCTTCAAAACAGTGACTATATTAATCCCCCCCATGCCCGAAGCTGTGAAGGTGAAAGCCTTAATAGACTCTGGCTGCACCCGCTGCCTCATTAGCCCAACACTAGTGGGGAATCTGGGCATCCCATCCAGGAGACTGGAACAACCAATCTCATTTGGCCAGCTAGATGGATCCATAGCAGGGGGGGTGCCAGCTACCCTAGCCACTCTGCCAATACACCTCTCCCTGGGCAACCATGAAGAGGACATAACGTTTGTGGTGACCCCAGGTATGGAATGCCCAATGATTCTAGGGATGGAATGGTTGAAAAAATGGAACCCCTGGGTAAATTGGAGGACGACAGAAATCAAATTCCCGAAGGGGGACCCTATGGACTTAAAACCCCAAGGGAGGCTACCAGAATCAAGAATAGAAAAAGCATCCATAGGGGAGGAAAAAAGATTAACAGAAATACCAGAAGAATATAGGGACCTTGCTGAAGTCTTCAGTGAGGAGAGGGCGAATGAGCTTCCCCCCCACCGACCCACAGACTGTACCATTGAATTCAAGCCTGGGGCAAAACTCCCGAAGCCCAGATTATACTCCATGAGCCCAAAGGAGAAGGAGGAAATGGAAAGATTTATAAAAAAAAACCTGGAGAGAGGTTTCATTGAGCCAGCCAAGCCTAAAGTGGCTGCCCCGGTCCTTTTTAGAGAGAAGAAGGATGGCTCTTTACGTTTATGCGTGGATTATAGGGCCCTGAATACAATCAGTGAAAGCAACCTATACCCGCTGCCCCTCATGAAAGACATGCTGTCACACCTATCGAAAGGGAAATTTTTTTCTAAACTAGACCTAAGGGAAGCTTACTATCGCGTGAGAATCAAGGAAGGGGACGAATGGAAGACTGCATTTAACTGCCCCATGGGGTGCTATCAATTCAAAGTCTTGCCATTTGGATTACAAGGGGGCCCTGCAGTCTTTATGCAATTAATCAATGACGTTCTAAGGGAGCACCTATTTAAGGGGGTCCTTGTTTACTTGGACGACATTCTTATCTTTACTGAAACAAAAGAAGAACACGTCAAACTTGTCAGAGCGGTTTTAAAGAAGCTGCGAGCCGCTCACCTATATGCCAAACTCTCAAAATGCGAATTCCACCAGGAAAGGATAGACTACCTAGGCTATCGCATATCCCCACAGGGCATTGAAATGGACCCGGAGAAGGTCAAAGCAGTACTAAATTGGGCACCACCCCGCACAAGAAAGCAACTACAAAGTTTCCTGGGCTTTGCAAATTTTTACCGCCAATTCATCCCCTCATTTGCACAGATAGCCTTGCCCCTCACTAACTTACTAAAAACGAAGGGAACATCCTCAGTAAAACCTAGCCAGCCACTAACATGGACAATGGAGTGCCAAGCAGCGTTTGAGAGACTAAAGAGACTTTTTTCTGCCGAACCAGTACTAAGGCACCCAGACATGGACAAGCCCTTCATAATACAGGCAGATGCAAGTGATGTGGCAGTGGGGGCTGTGCTATTACAAGAAAATGATGATGCAGTATTGCAACCCTGTGCATATACATCCAAGAAACTCACGGAAACAGAACAGCGCTGGCCCGTATGGGAGAAGGAGGCTTATGGGATACGTTGGGCATTACGTGGGCGACAGTTCCTGGAAGGCAACAAAATCCCCTTCCAGGTGTGGACTGATCACAAAAATTTAGAAGCCCTGAAAACTTCCAGGAAACTCAATCCCAAACAAGTCCGCTGGTCCCAGCATTTTCACCAATTCCAATTTAAGCTCAAACATTTACCAGGAAGAAAGAACTTCCTGGCAGATGCACTATCTCGCATGCCCCAATATAACAGCGCACGAACCACAGACTCTAGACCAATAATGGCAGAGTCACAACTGGCAGCACCAGTAACCACAAGAACCCAAGCCAAAATAAAACCACAACTGGACAGCCAAACTGGGATTGAATTCAGAAAAAGTTTGGAAACAGATGACTGGTTCCAGAAAAACAAAAATGTGTGCACAATGAGAGACGGGTTGCCTTGGGTAGGGGAAAAGTTATATATACCAACAACTCAAAGACTAACTTTCATGCACCTTTGCCATGACACAAAATCAGCAGGGCATTTTGGATTTGTAAAAACTTTACACTTAATTAAACGGCAATTTTGGTGGCCATCAATAAAAAAGGACATAGAAAGTTATGTTGCCAGCTGCCCAACCTGTGCATCAGCAAAGAGGTTGCAAGGGAAATCGCCAGGGCTATTACAACCAGTGGCAAGTCCCTCAGCCCCCTGGAGGGAAATAGCCATGGATTTTATAGTGGAATTGCCAGAAAGCAATGGGAATACTGTTATCTGGACAGTCACGGACCTATTTTCCAAACAGGTGCACTT